TTCTTCTTCTTCTTCTTCTTCTTCTTCTTCTTCTTCTTCTTCTTCTTCTTCTTCTTCTTCTTCTTCTCCTTCTTCTTCTCTGCCAGTCTTATCAATCACATGTTTTCACACAACTCTCCACCTATAACATTTCAAACACAAGCTTTTGTTTTTATAACGCCCGTGAAAACAGGATCTCCCTGTTTTTAAACAACGGGAATGTCTGAATCGGATCCAAGTTTCAGCCCTAAAGCTGCTGCCCGGTTGGAGAGGGGTGTCTCATTTCAAGGCTGCCTTCTCTATCGCTCTCTTGACCATGAAAACTCTCTGGCTGCCATTGCTGTGGTCTCAGTCGTGCCTGAGCTGCCTGGAGGGCATTCCAGATGTTCCCTTGGCTTTGGGTGCCGCCGTCTTGCTGCGAAAGGAGAGGAGGGACAAGCAGGGCCCAGAGGGCAGAGGGCAGCTGTCTTTGGCCAACCTCCACCTTGAGGGTAGGGGGAGAAAGCAGCCAGGCTGGCTTTCCTGACTGGACACCACCCAAAAGCCTCCAGGCTCCTAGGCCGGGCACAGCAATGGCTCTTTGTGCCAGTTGAGACAATCGCCCTTTGTGCGGGCAGCGATGACCTTTTCCGGCGCCAGTTCAGAGACGATGCCGGCCATTGGGAGGGGAAGGGATGTCCAAGTGCTATAAAAGCCACTGACCTCCAGGAACAGCTTCTCCAAGGTTTAGCAGGGACCAAGCACCTGGGCAGGATGAAGCTGCTTTGGCTGGCTGCCTTGGGGATCGCCTTTCTCTGTCTTCCGGCTTTGGCCTCTGAAGAGGTCCAGCAATGCGCCCAAGGGGAGGTAAGTGAGCCAGGCTGCCTCTCCCTGCAAAAGAGCCCCCCGATAAGCTGAGCAGGAGGCAGGGCATCGAGATGGGCTGCCCTGCTCCCACTTCCCTGGCACGGCCGCCAGCCAAGCTGACCAAACTTTGTCCCCAGCTTCTAGGGCAGTGGTACGTTCACGCCATAGCCTCCAATTGTGAATGGATGGTGCGCTTTGTGGTTAAGGAGATGATGACCTCCAATGTAACCAGCCAGGGCGAAGGAAGCTTCAACGTCTCTGTCCGCTTCATGACGTAAGTGCTGGGCCAAAACCTGGGCCCATGGCCCCTGCCTTCTGCCCCCTGGCCTGGTTGGCTGGGAGGGTGGGCCCTTGTGCCTTGGAGAAGGGGATGCTGGATTTCAGCCGCACCCAGGCCCGCCTGTCCTGGAATGCCTGCCGTGGCCCCAGGCGATCTCAGTGGGGATTTAAAAAGAACCAACATTTTTTAAGCAGGAGAACAAGGCTGTTCCAAGAAGCAGAGCCCCCTCCCCTCCCAACAGCTCTTGAAGGATTGAAGTTGGGGGGGGGGGGCTGAGTGAGGCCAGCCTCTCTCTTGGCATCTTCCCTCTCTGGCCAAGAGAGCAGCAGTGCCTGGAGGCTGGTTCTGCAGCACCTAATGGCTCGTGCCGTGGCTTAATTCTACAGGGAATTCGGACCCATGGACGCGGAGATGACCTACACAAAACAGGAGAACGGGAAATACTTGCAGAGAAGCGGTTGGTATAGGTCGGAGGGGCTCCTCTGTCGCCAGAGGGCATCTAGCCTGGTCCCTTCCTCTGGAGACCCGCGGTGATCTCCCAACGTGGGTCCTGCTCAGGAGAGCCCAGGACCCCCAGCCCAGCTCCCTTTAGGGCTTAGCAAATCAGGGAGGGGCTGGAAAAGCGCCCTGGACCATCCTGGGTTTCTCTGCTCCAAATGAGCAGAGCTATTAATCCACCTTCTGGAGATGATTTAAGGGCCCTCTTTCACGCCTTTGCAAAAGACGTTGAAACCGAGGAACTCCCTTCCACTTGAAACATCTGGGCCACAGTCTACCCAGTTGAGAGGAGTTAACCTTTCAAGCTGCCCATTGAGGATTGAATCAGCCAAAATGAAACCCTTTTTTTTTTTTTTTCTTTTTTTGGTACTTAACTGATTTCACGTTGAGGCACTGTTTACATATGTGGCTCCTGTGCTAAATGGAGGCTAATAATAGAATAAAATATCAGTTTGGCTTTTAAGAATGCGCCCAGGAGGATTTCAGGACAGGACGAACCTGCTTTGGCCCGTGCACTCACTCGGGGTGGCCTTCTTCTTTCTCTTTCTGCCAGAATTGGGGGACAAAATTTTAGAGAAGAGGGAGACGGATTGCAAGACCTACATCATCACCAATGTCAAAGACGTGAATGAGAACGATGGCAAATTTTGCAGTTTTGCATCGTTCTACGGTGGGTATCCAGAGCGCCAAGGGGGGAGGTGGGGGAGAAGGAAAATGGCCCAAGACTTATTCCTTCATTTGCACCTCCCTCTTCTGACCAGCGGTGATTCTGGGTTGCAAAAGGAGGCTCTCTCTCTGTGAGGCCCCTTGCCCCAAAATGAAAAGGACGGGAGGGAAGATCCACACCTGGTCCTCCTCCATCTCTCCCTTTTGGGTAGCCAGGTGGCCTACCTAAGATGGACCCGCGAAGGATTCTCACCCTGAACAGTCCGAGGGTTTGAGATCAATGCAACCAATGCCTAACCCTCTGGAGAGGGGCAGTCCTGCCGGGCAGAGGCTACCCTCCCCTCTGATGGGGAGACAGGGGTGGCCATGGGGTCAGCCACATCAGCAGCATGGCCTGGAGTGCTCCAAGAGTGTCCCCGCTTCTGGCTTTGTGTTTCTGGCTCCACCTGCTGCAAGAAATCAACAACCAGCTTCTCCTTCCAGCCTGACCCAGACCCAACTTTTCCCTGGGCTCAGCTGAACCCCTGGCCCATCACGGGGCCCACGTCGATCAGGTGTCACTCTGGCACCGCCAAGATCAGGGTGGATTCCATCTTCAGGGCTTTCTTTGGGATGGAAAAGGTGTCCCCGTCTTCATGCCTATTGGTGTCCATCCTAAATGAAGGGCCTTCTCCCCACAGACATCTGGGGGTGTGAGGGGAGAGAGAGATCCAAGAAACCCGTTCAGGCCTGCCTCTTCTTTCCTTTCTGCAGGCAGGATGATGTCTATATCCAATGCCGGGAAGCAGTCCTTCATAGACTTTGCTATGGACTTGCAGATAGACAGAGAGCAGATATTCTTTTTGCCCAAGAAAGGTAAGATGCCAAGATGGGCCTCCGTCAAAGGGCTTCTCTCTCTCTGAGAAGCCAAGAAAGAAGGACGCCTTCATTCCACTGGGGGGGGGGGGGCGGGGGGGGCGGGAAGCTTCTCCAGATCGTCTATAAAATCGCCCACCTGGCAAGCGTCTTTGGCCAGGATCTTTTATGGCCTTCCTTGCTCGGATGTTCCCTGAATTCACTTATTTATTTATTTTTATTTATTTGGTTTGTCAATTGCTTACAAGATAATAGGTATAAGAATAAACATGAGTATGAATACAGGAAATAGGTACGAATAAATGGGGACAATAGGACAGGGACGGGAGGCACAATGGTGCACTTATGCACGCCCCTTATAGACCTCTTAGGAATGGGTATTCTCTCCCTTCCTTTCTCTCCTCCATCCATTCTTTTCTCTCCTTCCTTCCTTCCTTCCTTCCTTCCTTCCTTCCTTCCTTCCTTCCTTCCTTCCTTCCTTCCTTCCTTCCTTCCTTCCTTCCTTCCTTCCTTCCTTCTCCTTCCCTGTTCTCCTTCCTTCCCCCTTCCTTCTTTCCTTCCTTCCTTTATTTTTTATTTTATTTATTTATTTGATTTGTCAATCGCTTACAAGATAATAAGTATAAGAATAAACATGAGTAAGAATACAGGAAATAGGTACAAATACATGGGGACAATAGGACAGGGACGGGAGGCACGATGGTGCACTTATGCACGCCCCCTTACAGACCTCTTAGGAATGGGTTGAAGTCAATAGTGGATAGTTTGAGATTAAAGGAGTGGGGGGGGGGATTTGAGGATGTAATAACGGAGTCAGGTAGGGCATTCCAGGCATTGACCGCTTTGTTGCTGAAGTCATACTTTCTGCAATCAAGTTTGGAGCGGTTTACCTTGAGTTTGTATCGGTTGTGTGTGCTCTTGTATTGTTGCGGTTGAAGCTGAAGTACAGTAGTCATTGTGAAACGGTTGCTGGGAATGAAAAGCAGGCAATAACTGAGCGATAACTTGGTGTGTCCACAGATGCCGCTACAAAATCTGACTAGCCGAGTCTCACGGGGAAGACCTTAACGCCAGAGGGACCATTTTCCGGGCAAGCAACTCCCGGGCTGGGGACCCCACTCTCCTCGCTCCAGGTCTGGATCCCTCTGTCAGTACGTGGCAATGACAGAGGGGGTGAGTGGTCTGGGACACCCAGAAGACCCTTCCAGAGGGATTCCCTTTTGGCTCCTGTGCTGTTTTCCCTGGAACGACGAGAGCAGAAGCATCGGAAACTCCACCTCCACCAGCCGCTCTGTGCAATTTTGTCTTCACTAAAACATAAACACCTCTGATAAATGCATAATAAAAAACATCCCTGATAAATGCATAATAAATGCATCTCTTTTGTGGCATGTTTTTTTAAAATAAATTTTTAATCAAACAAAAAAGAAAGACATTTAAAAACAATGAATGCGGTGCATACATCCTGACACACCTACTTCTCTTACATCATTAAGTAATAAATATAAAAAATAATACAAATTTACATATATACATAAACTTTCAGTCATCTTTGGTACACTTATTTGTTCCTTTTTTCAACCAGTGGTAAAACTTCTCCCAAATTTTATAATAATCAGATTCGGTCTTATTTTTTAATTCTTGAGTTAATTTATCCATTTCAGCGCACATCCAAATTTTTCTGAGTATTTCCATCTCCTCTGGCATTTCATTACCTTTCCATCTTTGGGCAAAGTCTAACCTTGCAGCAGTGGTGACATGGACTATTAAGTATGTTACATCTTTATTATAGTCTCCCACATTAATTCCCAGTAAAAAGATTTCAGGTCTAAATTCTATTTTAATTTTACACATCTTTCCTATCCAATTCTTAATTTTCAGCCAATATATTTGGGCTTTTTTGCAATTCCACCACAAGTGATAATATGTTCCAATTTCTTTATCACACTTCCAACATTTGGGAGATAGTTTCGGATACATTTTTGTTTTCTGGCATGTTTGTGTGTACATTAAAAAAAACAAACCCATTGTTGGAAGTTAAAACCCACCCTCTCCTGGAAAAATGAAATATCCCAGGAAATACTAAAAAGGCAGAATATTTACCCTAAAAAGAGAAGTAGAAACTCAAAAGCAGAAGCTCACCCCCTCCTTTGGTAATCGGTGGGCCATTAAGGCCTGGGACAGAATATTTTACATAACAGAGATCTCCAGGTACACCTATAGGAATTACCCAAAGGCCTTTTCATTACATCATCATCCAGCAAGGTTCAACTAAGCCTGGGACTCAGGACAGCCTACAGAGTTGCCCCTGCATGGCCCCACGGGAGTCTGACAACCAGTCAGAATACAAGCTATCTGAAGATTTGGGAAAATGGGATAAATTAAGACTATCCTTCATGGGAAGGATAGCTGCAATAAAGATGAACGTATTACCTAAATTACTATTCATTTTTCAAAATGCTCCCATAAAATTGGGGAAAGTTTTTTGATAATTTGAATAAAATAACATCAAATTTTATATGGCAAAAGAAAAAACCAAGAGTCAAACTGAAGTTGTGCAAGATAGATGAGAGAGCGAGAGAGAGAGCGAGAGTAGGAGAATGGTATAACTGATGTCACAAATAACTGCAAAAAACATATATAGAACTTGGTTTTTTTTTAAGGTGAAATTTAATAAACTTTAAAAAAAGAGAGATAAGTGGGAGGACAGGCTTCATCTGCCCCATTGGGCTACTCACACACACCCCATCACCAGTGGCATTAAAACTGAAGGGAGAAAAATTTTCCATTTCTGATCACTCAGCAGGTCAGAAAGAAATGCCAACATCAACATCTCAAATCACGAGCCCAGCTTCGCTCGGAACATTGTGCATCCAGTCCACTGCACTCGTATTCAGGTGCCAACTCGCACAGGGTGATCTTTTTTTTAAAAAAATATTAAATTACTTTATTAAATAAATTTATAGACATGCATTAAAATCAAACCATCCCATTTATTGCAACACAAGCAAATACAGTGTTCGCTCTAATTGACAACTCTCTCATTGTATCAAATATTCATTCACTTATTTAGATGTCATACTAAATTTCATTCAAATTATTTATCACAAATAAATTTTACATATAGTTTTACGAATTTCCATCATACCCTTTTATTTGACTTTGTATTCCTTTCTTGTCTATCTTCCAGCCAACTGTACCATAAGTTCCAAATTTCATGGTATTCCGACTCCTCTTTGTTTCTGAGTTCCATTGATAACCTGTCCATTTCTGCATATTCCAAGATTTTCTTTATGATCATAAATTCGGGGTGTGTGTGTGTGTTTTTGCATTTCCAATTTTGGGCAAAGGTGAGCCTTGCTGCCATTAATATATGGAGTATTATAATAGCTTTTTTTTTTTTTTTTTACTAATTTTCTGATTAGGATTCCTAATAAAAATATCTCTGGTTTCAACTCAATTTTAACTTTTGTGATTTCTTCCAACCAATTTTTAATTTTCCTCCAATAGCTTTTTGCTTTTGGGCAGGTCCGCCACATATGATAGTAGCTTCCCTGCTTATAGTCACACTTCCAACAGCTCACCAAATGGTTGAGAAACATTTTTGCAACAGCGATAACACATTTTGTACAAATTCTCCTTGTAAGTTGCTGATAAAAGTTAATTTATAATTTATTGCCCATAGGCTTTTCCCAATCTTCCAAATTAATGTTGTATTCAAGGTGATCTTTTGAGCGGCCATCCAAGGAAGCGAGCTGGAAGTTGATCATCCTTTTAGATGAGCAGGATCTTTGCCAGGGCAAACAGCTCTTCTGACCTGTGGGGCCGCCAGAGATTATCCTGCAGGGTGCATTTCAGTTGCAAGCCTCAAATGTGTCAACGTGCCTGTTTGTTGCGGTGCCTTCTGGGGAAGCGCAGGTGACAGGGTCCTTCTGAAGTCCTCAGTTCATCCTTTAAAAAAAAATAAAAATATTTTGCCTTGGTAATGGGGACACTCCTCCAGCCAGAAAAAAATAGGGAATTGTGCAAACAACGAGGAAGGGACTTGTCCAACGGTTGCTCAAAACTCTCGGCGGGGCGAGGTGGTAGAAAAACTCTGGAAGTGTGTCCCTGGGTGTATGCAGAGAAGGAGGAGCTGTGGGAAGAGAGAGGGAGTTGTGGGGGGACAGGCTGTGATCCAGCAAGGAGCCCCCCCCCAGTTCCTGCTCCCCTTTTCAGTTTTATTCTCATGTCATCGCCATAGAAGCCTGCAGGAAGGAGGGTGGGTGCTGACTGCGGTGCTCTCTTGAGTGGCGAATACCACCAGGAGACTGAAGGAAGATCTGGAGTTGCTTTCAAAGCCTCGGAGACTGTGGAGGAGTTCAAAGGCTGCAGAGCCCCCCCCCCTCAATTTATTTATTTATTTATTTGATTTGTCAATCGCTTACAAGATACAGGTATAAGAATAAATAGATACTGATAAGAAAAATAAAAAGAAACAATAGGACAGGGACGGTAGGCACGTTGGTGCGCTTATGCACGCCCCCTACAGACCTCTTAGGAAAGGGGTGAGGTCAATAGTGGACAGTCTAAGGTTAAAGTTTTTGGGGGTTTGGGGAAGAAACCCCAGAGTCAGGTAGAGTATTCCAGACATTGACCACTCTGTTGCTGAAGTCGCATTTTCTTCAATCAAGTTTGGTTCGGTTTTTTACCTTGAGTTTGTATCTATTGTGTGCTCTTGTATTTTTATGGTTGAAGCTGAAGTATTCATTGACAGGTAGGACATTGCAATGTATGATTTTATATACTATACTTAGATCGGACCGAAGGCGGCGTAGTTCTAGGTTTTCCTGGTCTAGAATTTCAAGTCTGGTGGCATAAGGTATTCTGCAACGAGTAGAGGAATGGAGAACTCTTCTTGTAAAATATTTCTGGACTTTCTCGACTGTGTAAATATCAGATACATAATGTGGGTTCCAGACTGATGAGCTGTATTCGAGTATTGGTCTAGCAAATGTTTTGTATGCTCTAGTTAGTAGTGTGATATTACCAGAGAAGAAGCTACGTAGGATTAGATTAACAACTCTTAATGCCTTTTTGGCTATGTAGTTACAGTGGGCTCTAGCACTTAGATCATTAGAGATGAGTACTCCAAGAATTTGGGACCAACCAGGCAGGAGCAGAAGGAGGCTTAGGAGATGCTGGACAACCCCTTGAGATTTCCTGCTGTGTCAAAGCCTTTTTCATCCGCAGAAAGGGAGGAAGGGAAGAAAAGTCAAGCCCCTCCCCCCAGGAACATCTCTCACCTCCCACATCCGATATGGCAGCCAAGCCCCTGTCCCTATTCTGGCAGTACGTTCGGCCATGGAGGTTGTTAAGGAGACATTGTAGAGTTATTTGTCCGGAATGGTACATGTCCTTTCCCATGGAGTGGCAGAGAGAAAGAGGGCACCATTTGGGTGCCTCCTCCATTTAAGGAGAAACTATGCCCCTTCTTGCCAACACAGCGGAGGCCACCTGGCATGGCTCAGCTGCCCAGTGAAGGAGTGACTAGTTCTGCTCTCTCCTCTGAGATCTGCTTGCAAGAACGGATCCGCCACTTCGGATGGGCTGTAAAATCAGGGGGCTTTTAGGCCAAAGGATCCACGGAGTCCCTCCGGAGAGGTTCAGAGGGATAAAGCAGGGGGCACTGAGAGCTTGCTCCCTTGTGTGGGAACGGTGGCCCTGAGGCCCTGAAGGTGACACTGCCTGTGCCTACTGCCTCCTTGGGGAACCGCCATTCCCTGGAGCGGGTGAGGGGTGACTCTTGGAACAGAACGAGGCAGGGAAGGAGCATTGTCTCCACTCTCCTCTCCCCACAAAGGTTGCTTTGTGCCATGCCACATCACCCCTTGAGCACCTGAGGACACCACGGCCCCTGACTCCATCTTCTCCTCTGTTCTCTCCACCTGCTTGCTAGTTTTGCATTTTAGCCAAGCCTCCGACCTTTCTTGCCCAGCTCCAAACAAAGAGGGAGGCCTTTCCCGGTGGGCTGCAGGCCAAATGCCCACCGGGTCCGGAGCCAATGCAAACGTCCCCTGTTTGGAGAACGTCAATGGGTAAGGTCAGCCTGCCAGCCGGGGCCCTCGTGGCATCGGGGCCCAGCCAAGAAAAACCGCATTATCTTGATGGTTGAAGAACGTCAGCCTGGCACCAGGGGCCCTCGTGGCATCGGGGCCCAGCCAAGAATAACCCTGTTATCTTGGTGGTTGCACGCCTGGATGGAGGTGACGCAAAGCTCTGTGAGGTTGGAGGGCACAGGGAGCCCTATAAGAGCAGGAACCCCTGCAAACACCAGCCACCTGCCTCTGAGTCTCAGAATATTC